CACAATTGCCAGGAATCAAATTTCTGAAACGAACATTGCTCTCTTTGAAGGTGTAATTATCACTTCAACCCCTTTCAGGGCATAGATCATGGCCAACCCAGGGGTCGCGACCCCATTTGGGGTCGCCAAGGTCATGTTTGGTGTCGTGAACCGGCAACTAAATGCCATGTCATGTTTTTTCTTTGCGATTTTAGCGCATAGGTGAGGGAGCCTGTCGAACTTCAGCCAGTGCTTGGGGTCCCGAACGGTACGATCGTGATTTTTGGGGTCGCGTATGAAAAAGGTTGGGAAGCCCTGGCATAGATGGAGTGCATACTTCGTCCCCATTTGCATTCTGTAATGGTGTTTATTATAGCTATGCCAGTGGCCACTTTGGCCATTGGCTGATTATGATCTCTTGCCAATTGGTCAGGGCAGGCGCAAGTACCCACCCCTACGGCCGCAGGGGGCCCCAGCCCCAAGAGGAAGAAATAAATGAGATAAAAAGAAAAAGAGAAAAAGGAAAAAAACTTTTAAACGCTACGAGTTATTCCGAAAGAGATCCAAGCTCTGAATGAAACGGAGAAGATTCCTTGGTCGTTCTACTCTGGACAGGCGAGAAGGCAGAGCTGGGCGAAGTCCGTCACCAATCCATGGAAAGTTTATTATTATTTTAATTCATCCATCCTTCGCGCTTGAAGGCTCTCGAGGAGGTGAGAAAGACGTCCGCGTAGAAGGGTCTACCTCGTCTCTCATCATCATGTTATGAAATGTATTGTTTATTCATATCCCAGTCATCGATAGGGTTGCCACATACAACAAAACGTGGACGTATGGAAATATGCACACGTATTCTACGTATATGCGGCTATGCCGCAAATACCCAGAGCCACCTTAAGCCAAGGCGCCAATCGGTATTATGAGAGTGTGGCCTACTGCTTTTGACTTACGGAAAAGAGCCGTTTTAGCTGCTATTAAGCTTTATTAGTTTCTAAAATCTCAAAAAGTTTATAAGATGGAGAAAACATTGTCCATATTAAGACCAGTTTCCAGTATCTAAGGAATGTCTGAAATATATAGTCAACTCTCGATGTACCGCCACCGTTGGTCTCCGTCGATTTTGGCGCTAAATCGAAATGGAGCTTTAAAAAGGAGAATTATTTCCCAATTCATATAAAATATGCACCAAATTTTCATTTTAATTAATCCTCGCTGCCAACGGTCCGTGCCTCTGAATACACCAACTGCACAGCTTTGAAAAATGATTTTATCTATTCATCCATTATTAAATCTAATTAATTCTTATTTTTAGCTAATATAACTCCTATCTGCTTGCATTATTGTCCCAAAATACCGAAAAATTGTTCGCAAAGTTTTGCTGACTTTCGATCACATTCGCCTCCTTCTAAGGGCACACTTCCAATTTTTCCTTCACACTTAAAACCATCCTTTTCCCATCACTAGATAGTGAACTAATTGTCGTCTGGAGAAGCGGCGTCTAATCTTTGATACGTTTCCCTTCTCCAAAACAATTAACAGGATTAGGCGACCCTATACGCCCCTCTCTAATCTCTGAAGGCCTATTCTAACGCTAAGTCATCCCTTACGATCTTGAATCTACGATCATGCGACCGAGAGGCGCAACTGGCAACATTATATTTTGTACATGGTATAATAATTGTGGCTGGTGAAGTAAGATGCTTGGCGTAATATCGAGTAAGACTTACGTAAAATAAGATACGTTTGTGCAAGTAAAGGTGTTGGCGGATGGCGGTTATCGAGGGTGGTGCTATGACGGCAGAGTGCCTATGGTAAGCCTATGGGAAAGATTCGTTCTCAGGAAAGAGTTGGCGGCTAGTGAGAGTGGCGGTATATCGAGGGTTGACTGTACTACCAATACTAATTATGATGGCAACCCTCATCATCTACGGTACCCATGCAAAGTTTAGACACCTTTTGCCAAGGTTAACCTCAATAGCTCAACGACTTTGTCAATGAGTTTCGCAGTAAGGCTATGCTTCTACCAGTCACTCGATGCTCTTGGAACTCCGCGATTCTTTCACAAGAGTAGTCAGGCCCGTGTATCCAAACGTGTCCATCGCTCTTTGAGTGCTACTCAAACTCAAGCTCAAGTGAGAGTTGCATCTGCAAAAAGAAGCTTCTCCAAATTGAAATAATTTATAACTTATCTAAGATGAAGCATGTCACAAGAACGTGTTCGATGAGCTGGGTGCAAAGGTTCTGAGAATACGAACGCTAAGTCTTTGGACAACCGACACAAATTACTCTCTTTTCCTTACTTAATTAAAATGTAGTGATTTTCATTTCTTTTTCTTAATATATTTTCGATAATCGAACATGAAATGAGAAGCAAATCTACGGAACCCAGAGGTGGCCGCATTTCCCCGCATCGGGCCAGGTGCCAGTGCTGATGCCAATAATTACATGCAGATAAAGAGCTGGTGTTGGATGGATTCAGTTGTCTCACATATGAATTGGACAGAGGCTTGATGTTCATCGTTTCTTGCCTTGTTCGGGGTGTGGACCGCTTTCTTTCCTCCGCCATTGCTCCTTCATGATCAGGGTGGCAGGGGGAAGGGACATGACCATCATGATGGGAAATGGGAGTTATCAATGCCTCATGACAGCCATACTCTTTCCTATTGTTACTGAGAATCATTTAGTAAGACACATTTACCAGTTCCTTTTTTTCCCTCTTCATTTGGCATATTTGGGCATTGGCATTGGCAGCTCCAAAACCTACTGATGGCTGATGGTACCAATGGTACTATTCCAGTAGCCAATAACAGTGGTTGCCAATGCACCAGTCAGCCCTAGTTTCCCTAGTTATTACCAATTCTGTCATACTTTACTGCCCAGCAAAAAAGTAACTGGATTGTATTTCTTCCACCATGTATTAATCATAGTTCATGTGGTACGATGATACAGCAAGAGAAAGCCAGTTGTATCATCATGGGACCAAAACCATAGCACAAACCATCCTATCAGCCTAATACAGAAAATAGATGTGCAGTGATCATTCCCAAACTACAAGCTGAGAAAGTTCTGATGCAGAGGTTCCAGTGTACAGACAACATTCATGATCTCAAGAGGTCTTAGCCACCTGTCACACTTGTGAATGTGGATTCAATGGTTCAAATAAAACTCCATGACTATCACATAAAACAGACGTACAAATGAATTTTCACCACCACATACAAGGTGTAATGTTATTTCTGTAGTGTATAAAAGGTGAGGTGACTCCATTTGCAAGTCATTGTACCATGCAAAGCATGAGATAGTTCATTACAGGATTCTGCTGTTATTGTAATTTAAATTCTTTAATGCAGTACTTATCAACCTTATTCTCAACCTTTGTCACAGCACACCAGTAGCAAAGCACTGCTCCAATGTATGGAGATCTTAAAATAGCTCCAAAGCCTTAAAAAAAAAAGGCATAATAGTTATGTAGAGCTATGGATTTTTGCAGATATTCTTCAATTTGCTCTTGAGACATGAGAAGTATGGATGAATTCAGCCTCAAAAATTTGAATTTAGAAAATTTAAAATATACTTACCAATGTCTGACCACTCCATGACCATCTTGCACTTTGTAGTTGACAATGTAGAATTATATGTAAATAAAGCAAATGAAGGAATCCCATTTCAAAATGCAGTTCTATTAACAGCATTCACAGAAACAACATATCAAACCCAAGCTTTTTTTTCAGTTCAAAATGGAGTATGCCTTTCAAATGCACAATCCTATTAAACAGAGATGACCCTATGCTCATGTTGTTTCTTTCTAATGAGATTCAACAACTTTTCATGCTGTATTTCTGATATGCACAATGAGAGAAGAGAGTGTGGTTTGAACCCCACAGATTTGAAACCATCCAGCCTCTTCTTCACAGTCTCAAGTTTGTAACTTAGAATTCTTGGTGCATTCAGAATCTGGTTAGCACTGAAGCCTTCATCTTCCAGAAGATCTAACATGGCTTTGATGCGAACCACCCGCACATGATTCAGAATGGGAGTCTTTTCAATTAAGAATCTGACTTGCTCTTCATCTGCACCCAGACGATGACACAGGTAGCTCACTTTGTCCTCATGAGATCCTAATGCTTCTTCATCGTCTTTGGTTTTTTTCAGACTGAGGAAAAATCTATCTTCTGGACATCTCAACTGCCAAGGCCTAACCAAAACTCCATATTCCTTGGCAAGGTGCAAGCGATGTCTTATCACATCAGTACTATGACGCACAATCCACATGTCTCTGCGCACAGATGAGATTGGGACATCATGCTCAACAAGGAGGGATAACACAGAATGTACATGAGCAAATCGGTGTTTGATGAGGAATGGGAATCTTACACACATGAAAAATGTGTCTTCAAGACTGCACTCAAGTATATGAGAAAAATAATGAGCCCGTGTTGGATATTCATCAATCTTTTCGCAGGACCAAATGAAAACTAAGTCCTCTATTTTTTGCCAAGACAACAAAAATAGGGGATAGAACACTGAAATAGCTGGCATTCCGGGGACTTTATTGATTTTTGATGCCATTGCTTCTAATTTATCCTTTGGGATCAATAAAAGCTCAGGCTTCCAATAGATCTTATCTGCAGAGAGACCATGGTTCTTGAAGAAAAGAAGGGTGTTCCGAAGCTGCAACTGTGAAACTTTGGAGAGACGAGCCTGTCTACTCAAAATCTCATCAACCTCAGCATCATCAAAATTATATTGCTGCTTAAGTTCAAGCCAAGCATACTGCTTGCCAACATTCTCATCATCAAGTCTCTCTCTAATGTAATGAACATCCAAAACCTCTTCCTCATTCTGTCCTATCAATCTGTGAGCAGATCTATGAAGTATATGAACTTGAGCTATATGTTGGTAGAAGTTGGGTTTTCTACAAAACACCCTAACAGATGCCTTGGTAAGAAATCTCTGGAACAGTGGCACCATTAAGTGACGAAGGCTTAAACTTGTCTTCAATGGCATTCTTCTGAACAGGGTTAATTCTTTGCAATAGTAGAGGAGGCCTGAGACTTTTCAGTCACGTCTTCAAGAAGCTTGATCCGCTTCCTTGTATAATGCTGCCAATGAAGCAACTGCTGGTCATCAATGAACTTAGCACACTGGCTGCTCACAAGTTCTTTTCGAAAGGTCTCATACTGAAGAAGTGTGAGGAAATGGAGACACATGGGGTACTTCAGGAAACATGCATATCCAGGTTCCTTCCAGTACTGGAGGTACTTGAGGTAGTTCACAAAAGCTTGGTCCTTGAAGTAACCTCTCTGAGCAAGGAAGTTCAAATAGTTGGGATTTGCCAAACACTGCACAAATTCCAACTCAATCTGAAATCGGAGTTTCTGCTGATCCTCAGTTTCCCTGGTAGCCATTTTGCATCAACTCCATTTGAACACCTGCAATACAAATGTACTTCTTCACTTCATTACCTCCAACAAGCACTCCCATAGCCTCCAGAATAAATATTGTGGCAAGATCAAAAAGGCTGTGGATAGAGGGTTCTTCAAAACCTCAAATTGTTAAAGGTGTGGTAAAACCTATGACTTAATCTGGGCAATATGGGGAAGGACATTATGACACAAGGAGATGGGTGCTTTAGAAATGTATCACCAACCATTCCTATAGCTTTCTTAACTCATTCTCCTGCCTTTACTATGACATAGAGCACTTGCAAACAAAGCTGAATAGCAATTCAAATGCTTACAGTTTGCAATTGACCAAGCAGATGTTATTATGGACAAAATCTTCCATTTGCACAATTGTCCTGCTTTGCTTGGACCTTGGCATTTTAAATAGGTGTCTGAATTTGATGCAAAAAATTATCCTTGAGCCTGGAGAACTACTGCTACACTGTTTTCAGATTGAATTGGTAACCCCCCCTCGGAGCACTTCCATCAAGTACAGGCAGGACACCTTGTGAGAGGAAGGTGAAGTATTAATAGAACCATCCAACAACCATGTGGAGCATCAGGCTTGACATCTTGAGGATTGTCTGGAAAGCTTGTGTTTTCTCTGTTCTCCACAGTAGGGGGGTACCAATTCAATCCGAAAACAGTGTAGTAGAGGGAGGGAAATTATTATTTACTTAATGGAAATCATAAACCTACAACCATAGCCCATGTCATGTAGTACATGTTCTTAAATTCTTCACTTCATCCTCCAAAGGCAAATTAAAAATGCATTATGAATGAAATGCATGAAATGGACAAAAATGAAGAGCATGATAATCACTAAGACATGGGAATGCAATATTGTACACTTTCTAATAAACTGATAGGATGAGCTTCCAACACCCAGTCAAGAATATTCTCTGAAGTCAGGAGGTTTGTAAAATTCTAAATGGGGATGTAAGAAAAATGTTCTAAGATAGGAAACAGCAATTTGAAAGTAATAATTCCAATTGTGAGGATTTAATGACAGTTCAATTAAAAGAATCCTGGTGATAATAGGGAAAATGCCACTTATATTGACTCCAAGGATGGCTTCGTGGCCCATCAAAAGGTATTTTGATAATTGCCATTATAACTGTCATTAGCAATCAAGCTAGAAATACTTGTTATCCAGAACACCAGTGTCATCATGGATGAGAATCAGTGAGGATGAAAATACAGCTACCAAATACTATATTAAAAACAATACTACTCTAACTTCATTTGATAAGACATCTGAAAATAAATGTAAAAAAAACACATTCATCCTCCTGAATACAATACTAAGAATATGTGAAGCAAAAATGATGAAACTTCAGATATGTACAGCAAATAACTATCAGAGCCTTCTCTCAATATTACATTCACAAATAGGCCTATTCCTTGGAAGTGATGAACATGTTCCAATAAAATCTCACTCTCTGAAAAAAAAAAAATAAAAACACCAAAGGTGATATCTCTCAATTGAATCTGTGACTGCCCTCTTTGACTCTTTCTTGCAACATAGATATAACCTTCTCAATTAATGTTAAGGTTGGAAGGATGTGAATGGTTAATATCTCCTCCAATTCAGAGTAAGGTGGTGCCACAAAAACAAAGCCTGGATTAAATTCAGCTCTTTGGTGTACCCCAGCCTAGCATATTTCATTAGGGGAGTTTTGATGCTAATTCTGGACAATAATGTAGGATCATGACATGTTTAAGAAGCATCAATATAAGTTTTCACTTTGGTATATAAAACGACTGGGCAACGCTGAAGGAAAGGAATGATGCAGCTGCTCAAGGTCCAAATACCTTTGAAATAACATGGACGGAGTCATTCCAGGATCCAGTTGGGTTGGTCAGTATTATAATTGAGTGACGTGAGTGAGGTTGCTGGGCAGGGAAAGGGCCAAGGTCTCTCGACCTTCTACCCCATACCCTTATGTAGTACTGCGGACCTCACAGTCATAGCTTTAAACAGATAGGAAGATAATGTATTTCTTTCCATTTCTTTCGTCAAACAGTATTTTGTTTCTCATGCTCAAAGTGTCATACTTATGCTGCGCTAAGGCCATACTTTTTAGGGTGTTCAGCGCCTATGAATGGGTCGACTGAATGGTTTTGTTGGAGAATTTCCATTTCGTGTGCACAAACTATGAATGAATACAAATATCCATCAAGTTAATCCTACTCTAATTAGACTTAACGTAGGTTTAATGCTTGCAGACTGCAGGCACGTGCAACAGTGGTACAAACTCGTCCCTGCAGTGTTGCTGGTACCCTTACCTTATGAAACATCGATGTGCTTCTGGAAATTGTTCACCCCATCCGGTAGTATTTCCATTCAGTAATGAGATTTCCTCACACTGAAGATTAGCAGCTCAGCCTATTTTCCATCCACAAAATTGAGTAAAATAGTAGGGAATAATTGTCGAGCCAAACGTGAATTCCGGAATAATTCATCTCCATTTTTCAAAGTTTGGAATGTCGCAGTTATCTGTGAGAATTCTTTACTTTACAATGCGCACTGTTAACATTGCCGGTTTTCTTTTGATATTTTCTTCAGCTCTTGCTTACCGGTGTTTCCTATCGAGAGTCAAGCTGTCCCCATCGCATTCGTTCTCAAAATGGCGTCGTTAGCGACGTGAGTATTCTCATGGTCTTCAATTTCTTATAACTTCAAGCCAAAGCTCTTGAGCTGCGATGGTTTCGGCATGCATTAGAAAGAGTGCACTTCTGGTTAAGTGAATTTATCAGTTCATAGACTTTATTTCTCTTGTTTTTCAGGCTCCTGCCTAATCCCCAAAAGGTATGGGACCGCGAGAGTGAAGAACAGAATCGGGCCCAGTTGCAGCAAAAAGCTATCATCGCCTTGAATGCCAATGCTTTTCCACCTTATGGGCAACGCGAAGGCTGGGTCCCCCGTAATCCGGAGGTGAGAGTTATATTGAATTCCAAGTATGAGTTTTTGCCCTGCATACCCTCTGATCTTGTGCATGATAATCTGTATTAGTATATTTATTTCTTGAGTTCAAAACATTCCTGTTGACTCCCAACATGAATGCATGAGATGAAACGCATGCAGGCATGGATATAATAATTTATTTACATGAAAATAGTGCTGATATTCAAGTACAATGAAAATATTAGCCTCTTGTGAGTTGCCAGAATATAGAAAATATGGCTGCATTGCAGGATTTTGGAGATGGAGGGGCTTTCCCTGAAGTCCAGGTTGCACAGTATCCACTCAGTATGGGAAGGAAGGACAAGCCATCCACTTCTTCAAATGCCTTGGCAGTACAGCTGGATGCTGCAGGACACATCAAATATGACCTCCTTGCTACTCAGGGGCATGGGAAAGACAAGGTCCGGCTTTACTGATTATCTCAATAATAATAAAAAATTCAAATTTTGGTTATTTGCAGGTTATTGTGGAGAAAGAAAGTGAATTTTTTGTAATGGCATGTTATCCCTTTCTTTTTCATAATAGTTATCAACTGAATGTTCTGCTTGTACCCTTCTGTATGAATTGCTCTCTTTCTGAATCTAAATCTCTTTTGTGTATTAGAGAGATTTTCATTAAGTCTTGCATGCAGAAAATGAAAGATATGGTTTATATCTTCCTATATGATCTGATCATTACCATTTGTTGTCAGCATCTTACAAATGCATAGTAGGGGCACTGATTTTTTAAACTTTGATGGTTAATTTTTATTTGAATGAGAAATATTTAACATTTATACATATTTTTTGTTTTCTTATTCATCTGTCATCAGTATTCAGGGAAAAAACCATCAGTGATACTGCGTGGAGCACCAGTTTTCATATGCACAACAGATGAATAATGCTTTTGATCTGACCATTATCTGGTCAGATTGTGAGGAAGTTTCATTCATAGGATCATGGAGCTGTTTTTATTATTGTTAATTTCACTAGTTTTATTTATTATTGGTTATTAGTTTTGCTAACGTCACTCTGAATGGTGTTAGATGCAGAAAAGGCAAGCAATACCATGTTATTCATGTGATGCTTCAAAACCAGTCTCAAGAAACTTCATCTCCAGAGATTTTCACTATATTCATGAAATTTTGCATTTGAAATCCTTTACTGAGGTGAATTTGTGTCATAACTTTTCCCATTGGCTGTGTATCCTTGTCATAGGTATGCTCAAGGATATTGAAACACTTCAGTAGCTTATTTTTTTTTGGAGGTACGTGAGTTAAATCCTTTGAGGACTGTTGTCTTTATCTTTGCAGTGCTTGCATATTCATGTCTCATGGAAGATGTCACCTTGCATTATAACCCCCATAATGTTGTGATCTCTTTTCCTCCCAGGTTGTCTATTCCAAGTTCACTGATCTCCTTCCCAAAGAGATGACGGAGGATGAAATAGAAAGGCCAGGGGAAGAGGATATACAGAAGACAACAGAAAAAACAAGGGAGGCTCTTGAAAAGCTCACTCACAATAAGATCTCAGCTGCCATGCCTGTCAGAGTTGCTGATAAACTGGTAGGCATAGCTGTATTGTGTATCATGGAGTTTTATGATTGATGCTGTTTGTTCCGATGAATTGTATGTGCATCATGCATGGAGACTTGAATTCTAGTGGTCTAGATTTACAGTGATGGTGTTTTATCTCCAATGAGGCAAATTAAGCTGATTTTCCCTCCAATGCAACACCACTGTCAGGAGCTAGATGATTTCCTTCCAGCATTAAAAAAAACATAAGCCGTAAAAAATTTTTAAACCTCCCAACAACTTTTTCACAGCTAGACATATCTGAATTAAATGAATTTATAGCATTGTTTTCAATTGTTGATTTATATTTAAGTTTATGAGTACTCTAATCCATTAGTACCCCATGGAAGTAGACATTTGCTCTATTTGTTGGCTGATGTTGGCAAGTATTGCAATACAGCAAACTTTGTCTTGTATCTGAACTTAACCTAGATATATATTTTTCTGCAATCATGAGTATCTATATTAATTAGATTCCTGAGATTTTTCATGGTCTTTTTTATTTTCAGATTGGGTTCTGTGAAGTTCTTATTAATTTTAATGTTGGTTGGTTGGTTTTAAGGTTGGAATACTGTTAATGGTGAATATAGTTACCAAAGTTCAAATACATATGTTAAGTCAGTGACTACTGTGTGAGAGTAGGGTACTCCTATATCTCAGCTTCATCTTCTAGAAGTATAAGCTCATTTGCCATCACATAAAGGTCACCTAAAAAAAAGTCATCATAGCTACATACAAATTTGGGATGTGCCTAGTATCTAATTTTAAATCATTTTAAAGTATCATAGCAAGTATTGTAGTAGACATACATTGAATACACCTTATCACCTCTAATTACCTACTGATACTTTCAAAGGAGATGGATGCCTATTCATAAATTTCTTATTTACATTCTAGGAGCCAGCAAAATACATCAGGTACACGCCATCTCAGCAAGGAGCTGCCTTCAATTCTGGAGCCAAACAGCGTATCATCCGGATGGTTGAAATCCAGAAAGATCCCATGGAACCACCTCGATTTAAGTAAGATTTCAATTTTCACATGGTATGAGTTTCTACTGGATGACACTTCTCACATGATGTTAACTCTTTTCAATGACAGGATCAATACGAAGATCCCTCGTGGACCCCCTTCACCACCTGCTCCAGTAATGCATTCCCCAACTCGTAAGGTTACTGTGAAGGAACAGAAAGAATGGAAGATCCCACCTTGTATTTCCAATTGGAAAAATGCAAAGGTCAGTCTCTATGTTGCTGTCATTGGCAAAGGTGTGTAGTAGTTGGATGTATGATCCCTCCTAATATGTCAGTAGCAAGTTCTGCTTTTGATGTTGACCAATACTGTAATTTATATAAATCTGTATTCTCCCCCTTGCTTTGTGATAGGGTTACACGATTCCTCTGGATAAGCGGCTTGCAGCTGATGGCAGAGGACTCCAGCAAGTACACATCAATGAAAATTTTGCCAAGCTAGCCGAAGCCCTGTACATTGCAGATAGAAAGGTAGGCGAACCTTGGTTGGACTGAAAATTTGAATGAGGCTTAATAGCATTTAATTTTGAGTTATTCTCAGACATCATGAGACATGTCCATATTTTTTTGCTCTCTGTTTACAGAGCAGTGTTGAAAATGCCATTTCTTACTATCTAGCAAGATACCTTTCATGTATTTTATTGTGGTTGCATAGGCGAGGGAAGCTGTGGAAATGAGAGCTCAATTGGAGAAGAAATTGGCACAGAAAGAGAAAGAGAAGAAGGAAGATCACCTCCGACAGCTAGCACAAAAAGCTAGGGAGGAGCGAGCTGGCATTCATGCCGCTCCCACTGCTAAGGGTTTGCATATTTCCATCACTTATTTTCATTTTCTCTAAAAGTAATCTATTTAATAATAAATGTGCAAGAGTAAAGAATATCTGGTTTTATACTGTACACAGATTGATGAAGATTCTAAGGAATATTAGGAATGTGGCTTCTGTGGTCATTTGCCAAAAAGGGGTTTACAGGAAACTAAAAGTTTTTTCACTTTTCATATTCAGGCCTAGATTCTTAATCTAAAAATTTCCTTTAATGACGCATCCAAATTTTAGTGGATTCCTCCCAATGAACAAGAACAAACTCATGACATATGGAGCTATTTGAATTTTTTTCAGAATGGAATTATTCCCTTTACCCATTGTGTGCTACATTATTCTGTCCATTCTTCATGCTGCAGATGATGAGGGTCTGAGGTCACGAGAGAAACTCCGTATGGAGAGGCACAAAGAACGGCAGAGAGAGAGAAATCTTGCAAAGTCAGGAGCAGACAAAAGGTAAGCTCTCGTCTGTAACTTGTCTGAATCTGAAGTTGCAAAGTTGACCTAGCTTGATAACATGATGGCCTGTTACATACAATGCCATTGACAATAAAATATTTTTTTCACGTGGAACTGAGGATAGAAGTTAATGATTAAAGTCTCACTTTCCAGGTCTAAGGCAGAGAAATTGAGGGACAGGGACATCAGTGAAAAAATAGCCTTGGGACTTCCAGATGCAAGGAAGGCAGCCAGTGGAACACAGTTTGATCAGAGGCTTTTCAATCAGAGCAAAGGTATGGTCTGGCCATCTCAGATCTGGTATCTGTGCAAATGTTTGTGCTATCTTCACTGCCCTGATTGACCAATTTTGCTCAAGTGTAATACATATGCCCAAAAGTAGGAATTATGCAATTTTTCAGGAATGGATTCCGGATTTGGAGATGATGAGTCGTACTCGGTTTACGACAAACCATGGCGAACATCGGGATCAATGGCGCAATCATTGTACCGACCTTCCAAAAACGTTGATTCTGATGTCTATGGAGCAGACATGGAGAAAATTATCAACACAAACAGGTTAGCCATCAAAACAGTTGTTCATGATTTCTTAAGGATTCCATCTTCATTGTGCAATGATTTCAATTTTTCCTTTACAATTTAGGTTCGTCCCTGACAAGGAATTCAGTGGCACAGACCGCACTGCTACTAGAACGGGGCCTGTTCCCTTTGAAAAGGAAGAAGATGATCCTTTTGGACTGGGTATGTTCTTGGAAGATGCAAAGAAGGCCCCAAGCAAGCGACCAGCTGAAGAGAGGGACAAAGACAAGAAGAGAAGAAGAGACTGAAAACCATGAAACCTCGTGTCATCAGGATGATTGTGATTTGACTATTGGAGTGTTAATAGGCTTCCTGTGTGTGCATGTGCTGTCACGATTTGTATGTATCACAATTCTCCATTGAGATTTTTTGCTTTTCCATTGTGTTTTTCTGTAACATAGAATGGGAAAAGAACTGAGATGAGAACGAAAATATTTCCAAGTGGGAAATTGAATCATTTGCTGGCTGAAATAAGATTGAGAGGCATTTCGCCAACTTCAGCTTATTTGCAATACACCTGCATGGTACCTTACTTTTGAAGGTTTGTAAGATGAAAGCAATTTAATTGTAACTTGGAGGTTGCTTTCGATTGAAAGCATGACTGCAATCGCAAGTAGTCAATCAGATGAGAACTAGAATGCAAAACCTCCTAATAAAAATAGGACAGGAAAGGCATTGAAGATGGTTTAGAATATATTTTTTTAGAAGATTCAATGTTTGATAGGGGGGATAGAGGAGTAGATTCACCCCAGGTGTTTCTCTGTGGTGTACGACGCCAGGGAGTCCATTCATCTCCATTTTTGTATGAAGTTGAATCTTGACAGGATCGAATGAGCCAAAAAAACAGGAAAGTGATCGTCTCATCCTGAAGTTACTGACGAGTAGTCGCGTTTATGGCATCTTACACGGCTCACTGCAAGGTTAATATAGGGATGGAAAATTATTAAGTCACCCGAATCTTGTTGCTTCATACTGGGATAGGATTGAGTAAGTGCTGTATAAGCAGAAAACGTCGTCGGGCATTTCCTTTTCTCGTAGGAGATATCGTTGGAATTGGTCGTTGCAATGAAAAATCAGAATGCGTTATTTCATGAGCGTTGCGTAGATTTACGGGAAAAAAAATCAATGCTTGCGTGTATGGTGGAAGAACGGGAATTCCAGGACACATAATGCATTTTGTTTCCTGTTTTCCTTTATTTTTTACTTTCGAGGGGGCGCGACCCCCTCCCTCCTCCCTCGACGCTATGCTGCTGTTGCACTTGAATTGTATAGGATGTTTTATTTTTTAGTTACCACTAACTGAGAGTAAGCAATGCAATTCGGAATGTCAGATCAGACTTTAATACCAATTTTTTTATAAATACAATATGAAGTTACATTAATGTACATTTAAACGAGAACTTAACCATAAATACAATGACATTACTTTTTAATTTGAAACTACCATGACGATATTTTCCAATTATAGTGGTAGCATTATTTTGGGCCACCCTCTTTGTCTTACGGTAGTATCATACCTAAAAGTGCTTGTGACCTGAAAAAAAATCGGATGGCCTTTCCAATTTACATCTTTTTATGGACTTCCAGTAAAATGAGCTGAACATTTTTGGCGGGGTCATGGAGAAGTTTTCTATTCGTTCCTGCTCTGTGCCATAATCTCCATGGAATTACATATATTTCCAATTTATTCTACTTAGTACCCGATTCAAGTTCCTCCAGCAGCGAAGGACCTTCAACGTCGGACGACGAGAATCGTAACAGAATCAAAAGCAAAGAAACCTGATCACGGGACCAAATAAATCCATTGGCCTGACATGCTAATCCCCATGTTGCTTAATCCAGATCAGTGGCGCAGCCAGGAATTCGCCAATGGGGAAGGGCGAATTCCCCCCCCCCCCCCCCCCCTACTCGCTACGCCACTGATTCAGATGCGATGAGATTTCGCCCCAACCTGTCGTACCAGTTGCCCCAACGTATCGGATGGGGGAAGGTTTTATCGAGAGGCAGCATCGTACAAAGATTCGGTTGGGACGTCAAGAAGCATTTCCGCCCATATCGGGATCTCGAATCGAGGTCGAACACTCATCTAATATGCTGCATATGTGGGTTTTTCCAAGTCAAACATGTCGATAAGAAAGTGAAATGCGACAAGGAAATCCAAATGCGCGCTGGATGTTGAACTTTCGAGAAAATCACGCCCGACAGTAAAACGCGACAGCCGTCACGTCAGACGACTGCCACGGAGTTCCACTCATTCGATTCTGGCAAAGTAGATGCAGCGATTTTTAAGGGACGAGTCCCTTTCCCGTCTGAATTTTTGGCGGTAATTCACTCGGCCAACCTCGACGCATCGACGGTTGGCAATAAGATGAATTAGCGGAAATGCGACTCGGTGGCAGTCGTCTCGCATTTCACTTCCTATTGAGACTGACCATAATTCTAACCACGCTCGATTTACGATACAAAGCCGAAACTTGGTACGATAATAGCTGTTTAGGTGGTGAGTCCAGGAAATGGTCTTCGGATATGCCGTGCATCTGACCCAGGCAAAAATGTTGCAGAGAGATCTATAGAATCTATAGAGTTTTCAATGCAGTTCTGTAGAATTGAACAAACCACTCATTGCATCTGGATAGGACTCTATACAGATCGGCATTGTAAGATATAGGGGCTAAAACCGCGCAAGCGGGGATACCATCACGTGGGTAAACAGTGGCGGCGAGCGGACGAAAAAGTCTGGGGATGCCCAGCATCCCCATCACAACGAGCAAGAATCTGGGGATGGGCCAGCATCCCCATCGCAGCGAGCAAGAGATCCAAGAGATCGTTGTCGTGAGAATGGGAGCATGAAGCGCGAAAGGCGTGTATGGGTCGGTCTCGTCGCCTAATGAGTCGAACTGCTTGACAGGTTGTTGCGATGTGAAAGGCTGAACGTTCCGTGTTGGCAGTTGATATCGAATCGGAAACACGTAAAAGGAGGGTGGAAATTGAAGATCCTTGGGACACTTGAAGAGTAGAGGTGCTTCCGGTCCGAGGAGAAAATGATCGCTTCCACGAATTACACCCCTTACACATTTTCGGGACTTCTCCTACAACAACAAAAAACGCATCTAGCCCATCTATAATGATCACGAAGACTATGGCCCGAATGCACAAGTCTCATTTAGCTAACGGTCCTTTAAGGAGAAAACAGACCGTTTGTTAAAAGCCTCTTTATCTTGGAATGCGCAAACCTCCTTTAACCTTCCGCTAGCTAACGGTCCTTTAA